GGTAACTGGGCCAGAAGTGCCCGACCCATTCATCCATCGTCGAGGGTCGTCCACGTCCTTCACTCCTCTCTCACTATGACTGCTAGCCCGTTCACTTTTTCCCTGGCATTGTTCACTACCAATCTCGCTCGAACTGCCGGACTCAATATCTTCGTGCCCGGATTGGATTCGGAATTTGGGGATTCGGTTGAGAATATACTAAACTTTACACGTTATATAGGCTACACTAACGTGACGTTTAGGCGGTTCGTTTAACTATTATACGTGATGTACGTTTTTTGAGGTGTGTGGTCCAAAACGCGACATTAATTTCTTGACGACCTAATACATAATCTGATGTTTATTATTACTTTCTTGCCGCTTCGCTTTTCAAATTTTCGTAGTATAAAGACATATTAAACAGAATTGGTAAATAAAGATTTAATTTAAAATAAATAAATATTAGGCGAAAAATGTAAATTTAGAAACTGTACAAATTATGAAAGTGAAAAAATAAATTAGTTTCTCACAAACACGCCGAAAATTTATGTTAAAAATTATACCAATTTAATTTTCCATTTTAGACCACTTTTAATTATTGGCAGTTACTAAACTTATATTTTCATCTAACATTTGTTATTTTTTAAATTAAAGCCCCCCAGTGGCACAGCGGTATGTCTGCGTACTTACAACGCTAGAAAGCGGATTTCGATACCGGTGATGTCCAGAGCACAGATTGCCCAATTCCATGTTTTATAATACTTTCGATTATTTCATTGCTTCTTGTTAAGCGCAAAGATGTGCACCCAGCAGGTATTAAAACTCAATTTTAGCGTGATAAGCCTTCAGACTTGCCGCTGAGATACCGGGAGGGCTTTTGATATAAAACAATAATTAAAATTGTTGTCCTCCAGTGGCTCAACTGTAAGTCTGAAGGTTTATAACCCTAAAAGCCGAGTTTCAGTACCTGTGGTGGGCAGAGCACAGAGGGCTTATGGTGCAGCTTAGCGACAGACAAACAATTTAGATTGTTTTTCGCCTTATCTGAATAACGTCCGTTCTTTTGACAAAGGGTCAAGGGAATATATCCCGTAAAGTTCTTCACCCCCCTTCAAAAAAAAACAAAACAAAAACCATTCTGTCCAAAATCGAACAATTATGTTTTATGAATATTCGCACGTGAGATACAGATGATGAAGGATGCAGTTTACGTTTTATGATGCAAAGAAAAATTACTGTTTGAGTATTATTGAAAAAATTAATTTTTCCGCTGTGAGGTAGGTAAGGTACCATACTATGAGATAAGCCAGTTTTATTAATTTGTAGATGAATCACGCACTCATATAAACACACACACATATACACCACTACGTGTTGGGTAAAATAACGATTAAATACATTTTATTAGATACATAAAAATGGTAAATAAATGCTTTTTTTTTCGGTTTTCACGCAGGGTATGATTGTATAAATTTCTTACGTTGTTTTTCTTAATAGTTTCCTAATATCGCAGTCTACATAAAAGTATGATTTAGCATTTAAACAAGAAATATGACGTCAAGGTTGCCAGGGTTACCGTAACGGACAGTAGCGTGCTTACATTGAACTTGAGAATATTAAAAAAAAAATTAGGTTAAGTTGAAACATTTCTTGATTATTTTATGTACAAATTATCATGATGAATACAGTAACGTGACAATCAAAATATCAACCCTTTTCAAATTGAAAACTGGTAAAAAAAAGCTATTAGAAGAAGCTTTTGTTGAACCTGGGACCCAAAATACAGCTTATTGTGGATTTTAATCTACGTTTTAAAAATATATATATGTACGTGTGGAGAAATCGTGTGATTAATATTTACTAGGAATGAGACAGTCATGTATACGCATTGGTAAACGAACAAAGACACACACACACATATATATGCTAGGCTGTAAAACAATTAGCACATACATACACGCAAACACATACATAGATAGATGTATATAATATTAAGAAAATATTTTAGTTGGATTGCTTTTTGTTTGCAAAACTCTGTTGAAGTTCCTCTCTTTGATATATCACACACGCTTTATAAATATTTATATGTACGTACACTATATCTCTCACACACAAATATTATTTCATACACTAGCTTCTCTCTGAATATTTTCTTGAGTTTCATCTTACCGTTAGACAAGACTCCAGCTCTTCCACCTCCTCTATTTCAGAATCGTCTTCCGCTTCTACTCGATTCCATACGCTCTGCCGAGGTTCCGCCATCTTCCACAGAGCTCCCAGAACCTGGTCAGCGTGAGGCGTTTTAGTCGGCCTCTGGCGGCGACGTTTAGCTGACATAGTTCTAGCTAGTGTCGGTTTCAGTGGAATCGGCGAACCCTCTCCCACAGTCATGTCTAGTGGCAGAAAACAAGAACAAAACTGTGTCACACACACACACACAGGTTTGTATGTCGATATCGTTTGCAACTAAAAACACGTATCATTAAATTTACAGAAACTGATAAATAAAGGAAGATATTGATTTCTGTGCATGTCTAACGTGAAGACCAATAAGAAAATATACTATTTTATATTTAGTTATTTTTCAAATAATTAAAGTGAGGCCGTTTGTTCTCTCGCTCTCTATTTGTCTGTAAAAGGATTGGGTTTATAACTTATCATACCAAACAAATAAGAAATCTTTCCAAGTTACTATATATTGTTTATTGCAGCTGTTTCTGTACCTTAGGGTGTGAGAGGGAGTGCGTCACCATCATCGGTACTCCAGTGTTTCTGATATTCTGCTGTAATTACGTCATTTCGATTATATATATATATATATTTCTGCACCTATAGCGCTGGCGTTTCTACTTCTAGCGAAGTTCCCGGATCGTGAAAATAATACAACTTTAATTAAGAGACATGCCAAGACGTCTAGTGTTAGTCTATTGCAGCTAACACTCGTGTGCTTATCTAAATATTCATGTATAATGACACACTTTTCACATAGTTTTGAGAACAAACGTATTGTGTTGAATAATTAAAAACAGAATGATCAGGGCTCTGCCAAACGGTTTAACAAAATAGTCCTTTTCTTCACTCACGCAACATAATAGAAATAAATGACACGTACTATAATATGTCAGGGTTATAAAAATGATGTTTGAAACAAAATAAACTGATGTCTAACTGTTGGCTCTTGTGATTGAATGTATATTTATTAAATACATGTACCAGGTAAGTATAGTTTTATCTATTATGTGTCATAACGTAAACCAGCCAATCTCACCTTTTTTACTTCTTCGCCTCATTTTACCTCTAACAGCAGGGAATATTTGCCGTCTTCTTCCACGCCGTGAGATGTCGCTACTAGAAATACTTGTACTGCAGTACTGGGATAAAAATTGAACCATACATTTCTGAGAAGAACAGTAAAAATTTTTGCTAGTAGTGTACAGTTGGACTTGTGGCATTGAACCTGTAAATATAATTTAGGAAGTGTAAAATAGTTTAATAACTGTTGGGTTGGAACGCTTATACTTTTATTAAGAGAAATTAATTTTTTATGTAGCAGTATATATTTACTAGAAAATTATATCTGTCTTAGGTTATTTCAACAGAAAACTACTAGATATGCAACCTAAAGTTGGTTGTCTCTATAAGTTGTGCTTCTTAGACATGAAATGTAAGAACGAGATATTATACTTTATTAAAGATCCTGGAGAATATGAACTATTGAACATAATATAACCCACATTTTAACAATCTTACACACCTGTAGCTAGTGAAAATGATAAAAAAAATAAATCATCTATACACCACAACTGACCCCTCCACCCGATAATAGTAAATTGAATTACTTACCGGGTTTGAAGTAAGAGGCTTGAACGTATCATATTTGTTGCAGTAATCTGTGTTACCTATTTCACAACGGCGTTATCGATTACGTATGGTTTTCTTCTTCTTGTATCTGTTGTTGCACAATGCTATGCCAAGACAGACTTCGGGGGATTTTGTTAATACCTTTATTAACACCCTCTCTGTGTGTTTAAATATGCTTAGTTCTTTCGTCCCCGAGTATCTTTATTTCTTCAATATATAAGTTTAACTTGTGAGATCACTGTCATACTTGTACCGTGCATTTGAAGTTTTCCCGATTGGATTGACGAATTTAGGGGTAAAAAAGTCACAATTTAAAAATTTACATTTATAATTTTTTAAGTTCAATTATTGAATTATTCCACTCATTTGTGTGATGACTGACCACATATATATATGTTGTTTTTTTTCATATAATGTTACATATCATGCATGGTGATATTATTACAATAAATAACGAACATAAAATGAGAACAATCGCAACAGTAAAACGACACATCAAATTTTGAATTTATTTTCCCGAAATAAAACACAAAATACGAGTAATTCAATATTATTGCCGCACTAATCGAATATCGATATATATTATCGATAAGTGATAATAAAAAATATGATCATAATAAAAGTAATATTAATTTATTATTCTTAATATATGGATCGAAGAGTTTCTGAATTATTTCGTAGGTTTATATATCAGGCTGGTTACTTTTCCTGTCATGCAGTTTGTTAATCAGGTGAATCAAGAAAATCAATCAAAACCGGACTCGACTCAATTCACCGTAAAGTCGTTGAAAAAAGAACGAATCGTTCACACGGAAACTTCTCGAACTTCTGACACGCTTTTCTGGGCGTGGAAGCTTACATAATACAGAATTAACAAAAGATGATTTAATTTAAATTTGTTTGTTTGAAGTTTAAGCACAAAGCTACACAATATTTTAGGATTTATCATAAAACAAGGAAGTATTTTAGGATTTATCATAAAACAAGGAAGTATTTTAGGATTTATCATAAAACAAGGAAGTATTTTAGGATTTATCATAAAACAAGGAAGTATTTTAGGATTTATTATAAAACAAGGAATTATTTTAGGATTTATTCGCCAGTCCTCATTTAAAGTCATTATAGTTGTAGTTTGTTTTGTAATTAAGCACAAAGCGGGTTATCTGTGCTCTGCCCACCACGGGTATCGAAACCCGGATTCTAGCGTTGTAAGTTCGCAGACATACCGCTGTGCCACTGGGGGAGGGGGCTAGTTGTAGTTACTGAACGATTTGAGATCAATACAAGTTATTACTTCTTTTTTTTTATCACATTAGTTATAATCGTTTTTTTTAACAGCCTTATGACCAATCACAGAGTGAGCAAAGCAGAAGTTCGACCGGAGTTAGTAGTTTAGACAGACTACCGAGTTCTTCTTCTTTAGAAGACCACTGTTGTTCTTCCGATTCCAAAAAGTTAGTAATTTTTAATAAGATATGTATTTTTTTTTACTTCCATATTGTTTGATATTAAAGCTTTTGCCCTTTTAGAAAACGTTTTGTTATCTTAAAGTACAAAATATAATCGCAGAGGTAGAGAGAATATAAGAACAAAAATGAGATAAAAGTCGTTAATGGCCTAGTAGTGGTTAACATATCCAAACTGTGAATCCGACGAGGGTTCACGATCTCTTGGTGCAAAAACAAGTCCTGTACTTTGGAGCCGTGGGTTAGCTATGAGAGTGACAGTAAAATATCACTATCCAGTCAGACAAGAGATGAGAGTGACAGTAAAATATCACTGTCCGATCAGACAAGAGATGGGACTGACAGTAAAATATCACTATCCAGTCAGACAAGAGATGGGAGTGACAGTAAAATATCACTATCCAATCA